AAAGTTAAACACATTTGGACAGTGAAGGAATGTCAGGATTCTTGCTCAGAAAAAGGATCAACATGCTCTGAAGTCAGAGCACAAAAACCTTTTTTGTAACAAAGTATCGATTTCTCCTGTCCCTGTATCGATACATTATTAGCAAACAAAATATCACCATACTACAAAGTATCGATGTCTCCTGTCCCTGTATCGATACATTATTAGCAAACAAAATATCACCATACTACAAAGTATCGATTTCTCCTGTCCCTGTATCGATACATTATTAGCAAACAAAATATCACGATGCTACAAAGTATCGATTTTTCCCCCACCCCTATAATGTATGGAAATAGTCCCTTTGATTAGATGTTGCAGGAATGGATAGAGACTCCCAGGCTAAATAGTAAGCTGCTTCTATGATTCTAATAATATGTCCATGACTCACTACATGTAACAGCTAAGTTTAACTTTAAGATTCTGCTGTTTGTGATTGATTAGCTGAGCTTTTTTTTGCTTTGTTATCAGGTTAATGTAGCCTGTGCTAGCCAGGCCTACGTGGTGCCAGGACTGCTAGAGGGTCAGGACTACCTGTTCAGAGTGCGAGCAGAGAACCGATTGGGATTCGGCCCGTTCACCGTCACCACTGAACCTGCCCGGGCCAGAGATCCCATCTGTGAGGACTTGCTTGGAATTTCAGCTCCAGATATGCAGCACATACTTCCAAAGTTTACATGAATTGCCCTAATATTAACCTTCCTCTTTCTCAGACCCACCTGACCCCCCCACCAAGCTGAAGGTTAACCTGGTGACAAAGAACACTGTCACCTTGAGCTGGGAGGCTCCCAAAAATAATGGTGGCTCTCCTGTGAAGCATTACATCATTGAACGTTTGAGCTGGGACACCACCGGCAAGGAGAAAGAGACCTGGAAACAGTGCAACAAGAGAGATGTGGAAGAGCTCACCTTCGTGGTAGAGGATCTCAAAGAGGTCAGGCTTTCCTCTTCAAAGGATTCCTCCATGTACTGCTTCTTTCCTGTATTAATTAGAATCACATTTATGAATACATGGCTTTTTGTCCTAGTTTTCAGATTGATCATTTTCTTTCTGGAAGTTATTTAAGATGATTTCTAGAAAACTCAAACTGATAACTGATGAAAATGTTGATTCTGTTCATGGGGTGTAGCGTTTTCAGTGGGAGAAACGTTTCGTCATCATCCAGGTGACGTCTTCAGTCTCAGCTGACTGCAGGTTTCAATCTTATAAACAGGAAATTTGCCCAATAACTGAAACAAGCACCACTAGTGAAAAATGGTCAGTTTCAAGATCATTAATATGCAAATTCTCGTGACCATTGATCACTGTCCATGAGTCCCATTCACAGAGAGTTGGGGAATGGCTGCAATCACAGCATTGTAAGATGGTGACAGATGTACCCTTAGGCCCCCTCCTCCATTCAGAGATGGTCTTTCCCTTTTCACGTAAATGTCCTCCTTGACTCCGCCCTCAAACCAGCGTTCCTCCCTGTCCAGGATGTTACATCCTCATCCTTGAAAGAGTGTCCACTGGCCTGTAGGTGTAAATATCTGTTATTAACCTCTGTCTCTCTTCCACAGCATGTCTTTATCCTGTCTTCCTTCTCTCACCCCAACCAATCACAGCAGATGGCCCCGCCCCTCCCTGAGCCTGGTTCTGCTGGAGGTTTCTTCCTGTTAAAAGGGAGTTTTTCCTTCCCACTGTCGCCAAAGTGCTGCTCATAGGGGGTCATATGATTGTTGGGTTTTTCTCTGTATCTATGAAGCGCCTTGAGGCGACTTTTGTTGTGATTTGGCGCTATATAAATAAAATTGAATTGAATTGAATTGAAAATAGACTGCAGAGTCCTGGCCTGACGAGGTCGCTCTTCTGTGTTGTGCCATCCTCTTAGCCCAGGGGTGGGCAATTCCAGGCCCCGAGGGCCAGTGTCCTGCAGGTTTTAGATCTCACCTTGGGTCAATACACCTGAATCACATGATTAGTTCATTACCAGGCCTCTGGAGAACTTCAGGACACGTTGAGGAGCTAATTTAGCCATTTAAATCAGCTGTGTTGGTTCAAGGACACATCTAAAACCTGCAGGGACCTGGAGTTGCCCACCCCTGTCTTAGCCAGAGGTTGTTTGGTTTCCCCGATGTATAAATCCTGGCACTTAACAGCGTACACTATGTTACTCTGTTTGTGTCGGGGGACTGGATCCTTGGGGTGGACCAATTTTTGGCAAAACTTCTCTCCCACTGAAAACGTTACCTCCAGATGAACAGAATCAGCTTTTTGGGATTTCCTTAGCTGGATGATCAAGGATGCATACAGACATAATGCAATAAAGATTGTTTTTTCACTTTAAAGTTTTTTAAGATGATTAATATTCAGTGCATAATCTTTAACCCACTCTATCTCTTTGCGATGTTACTGTAACTTTAACTTGTATTTCTCCAACGCAAAATTTGACAATTAATTAATTAAAAAAACAAACAACAAAAAATAACAGGAGAGGATAAAAACTGAGCTTTCAGCCCACTTTCTACCAGAATTTTACCCAAACTTTGTGTTGACTGTCTTGTTGATCTACAGGGAGGAGAATATGAGTTCAGAGTAAAAGCTGTAAATGCTGCTGGACCCAGCCGACCCTCTGCCACCGTTGGACCCATGGTCATCAAGGATCAGACATGTGAGCAACAGCCTCTTCAGCCAATGACAGGCCACTCATATTCCACTCTATGTGACCAGCACGTTCGTTTTTTAAGTCAAATATTCATCACGAACATCTGTGGGTGCCTGAGATTGTTGCATTCAGTTATGATGGTGATTAACAAACAGTTTGTTTCTGCAGGTCCGCCCACTATCGAACTACGCGAGGCTATGGAGGGAGAGGAGGGCTGTGACATCAGCATCGTTGCAAAAGTTAGTGGCTGTCCGTTCCCCAGCCTCGTTTGGCACAAAGCCAGTCTGGACAAACCTGAGGAGAAGTCTGCCATTCAGTACGACCAACATATCAACAAACTAGTGACCCAGGATAAGTGCACCCTTCTAATACAGCAAGCCAGCAGGCATGACAGCTCACTCTACAGCCTGACAGCCACCAATAGTCTGGGCACTGTTTGCAAGGGCATCAAGCTCTCAGTGTTTGGTAAGAAATTCAACCTAAAGATGTTTCATGTGTCTTTACAACTCTTAAAACAACAAAGCTGAATCACAGCAAACCATATTTCTTATCAGATAATTTAATTTAAAGTTTCATTACCAGACGCGAGGCCTGGCAGAGCGCTGTCGCCTTCAAATCAACAGCGCTATGCCCGACTCAAAGCCTTCGCAGTATCCAAAGTTTTTGATGTTCAATTAAAAACATCTTCAGAGAGAATGAGAAGGTCATTTTGAAACAGAGACTTTATTCAAATTGTGTGATGTTCTCAAATTAAGGTAAAAAAGTCTCGTAGCAGTTTAATTATCAGGTTTGATCACCGGTTGAAGTGATTTCCAGGTCTCTTCAGATATACATATATGACTCAGCCTCCCTCCCTATGTAGGCCCTCCCAGTGCCCCAGTGGGACCAGTCAAGTTCACGGAGGTGTTTGCAGAAAGAATCGGCCTCGCCTGGAACCCTCCCATCGATGACGGTGGATCTAAGATCACCAACTACGTGGTTGAGAAGCGCGAGGAGAACAGGAAATCCTGGGTCCATGTCTCCAACAATCCCAAAGAGTGTGCCTATGTGGTAACCCGGCTGACCGAGAACCACGAGTATGAGTTCAGAGTCATGGCTCAAAACAAGTTTGGAGTCGGCCCACCAGTGGTCAGTGAACCAGAGAAGGCCAGAAATCTCTTCAGTGAGTGTAGACCATCACGTCTTCACCCTCATTACACAAATGATGACAAATAACTTGTATTACACTTTATGTTAATATTATCTATTACATGTTAAATTATTTCTTTACAGTCCACTTACTGCATAATTCACCGTCATCATCTAATATTAAAAAAACTACTGTCAATTCTATGGTTTTATATATCAGGACACATTAAAAAAAG